TAGGTTGTTTTTCAAAGATTGATTTGAGATTAGGGTATCATCAATTGAGGGTGAAGGATGAGGATATTCAAAAAATGACATTTCGTACGTAGTATGGCCATTATGAGTTCTTAATAATGCTTTTTAAGCTAACTAGTGCACCAACTTCATTTATGGACTTGATGAATCGAGCCTTTCATGAGTTCTTAGATCAGTTCGTGGTTATCTTCGTCGACTACAACTTAATCTGCTCACCCTCTAAGGAGGAACACGAGGAACACTTGTGGGTTGTACTTGAGTTACTTAGAGCACACTGTCTGTATGCTAAGTTTGGGAAGTGTAAGTTTTGGCTCAACGAAATTAAGTTTCCAGGCCATGTAGTATCCAAGGAAGGGGTGACTGTAGATTCATTTAAAATAGACGCAGTGCAAGATTAAGAGCAATCTAAGAATGCCTTGGAGATCCGGAGTTTCTTGGGCTTAGCCGGGTATTGCTAACGTTTTGTAAAAGATTTTTCTAGACTAACTTCACCATTTACTAGGTTAACAAGAAAATGAGTTAGATTCATGTGGAGTGAGGCTTGCAAAGAGTCATTCCAAGAATTTAAGGTTAGACTTACCACTACACCAATTTTGATTATTCCAGAGAAGAGTTTGGGTTATTTGGTTTATTGTGATGCGTCTCAAGAAGGTTTGGGTTATGTTTGAATAGGAAGGAAAAGTTGTAACCTATGGTTTACAGCAATTGAAAACTCATGAGAGAAATTCTCCTACGCAGGACTTAAAGCTAGCAGCTGTGATTTTTGCTTTAAAAATCTGGAGGCATTATCTGTACGGGGAGAGATTTGAAGTGTTTTTCAATCACAAGAGTCTGAAATATCTATTCTCACAAAAGGACTTGAATTTGAGATAGAGGAGGTGGATGAAGTTTATAGAGGATTACGATTTTAAGTTACATTATCATTCAAGGAAGGCCAATTTAGTGACCGATATCTTGAGTAGGAAATCTGTGAGCAAAGTAGCAAGTATTGCTATCCGAGAATGAGAGATGTTAGGTGCTATCGGCAAATTTGACTTGTACCTTGGCGAGTCCGTTGAGTTGGCCACCTTATTTACCACGGTTGCAAACCTACTTTAGTTAGTCGGGTTATAAAAGTACAATAATATGATCATGAAATAGAGATTATCCGAGGGAAGATCTCCAATGGGAAGGTAGAAAAGGGTTTGAATGTTCATTTAGATTCGAGTATGAGATATCTAGATTGCTTTTTTGTGATAGAGTCTTGTAGAGAGGAGGTACTCTAAGAGTTCCACCATTCACGTCTTGTAGTACATTCGGGAGGCACGAAAATGTATCATGACCTTTGCTGCTAGTTTTGGTAGAGGGAGATGAAGAGAGATGTGGTTTTGTTTATTTCGAGGTGCCTTACTTGCCAACAAGTGAATGCTGAACACCAGCGACCAGCAGGTTTGTTGCAACCCCTTACTTATAGCCGAATGGAAGTGAGAGCATGTCACAATGAATTTTGTTGTGGCTCTTTCGAGGACTTAACTGGGTAATGATGTCGTATCGGTAGTTGTTAACTGGTTAACCAAATCTACACACTTTATACCAATGCGCATGAGTGATACGGTAGACTATCTTGTTGATCTGTTAGAGACATAGTACAACTTCATGGGGTCCCGATGACTGTCGTCTCGGATAGGATCTGCGTTTTATGGCTCCGTTCTGGCAGAGCCTATAGAGTGCCTTGGGCACTAAGTTGATTTTTAATACCGCCTATTACCCTCAGACTGATGGACAAGCCAAACGCACTATTCAGATTCTAGAGGACATGTTTCGGGCTTACGTTCTCAATTTTAAAAGGTCGTGGGAGAAGCATTTGCCTTTGGTAGAATTCGCCTATAATAATAACTTTCAAGCGAGCATTGGAATAGCACCTTTTGAGGCCCTGTATGGTCGACCGTGTAGATCTCCTATGTACTAGGCTGAGCTCGGTGACACACCTATGTTAGGTTCAGAATTAGTCTGAAAAACGACAAACAAGGTTGCACTTTTCCATAAGAGATTGGTTTCAACTTGGAGTCGTCAGAAAAGTTAAGACGACCGAAGAAGGAGATCCTTGTCTTTTGAGGTGAGGGATCACGTGTTTCTTAAAATCTAGCCAAGACGAGGTTTGATGAGATTTTAGAAGAGTGAGAAATTGTCTCCGAGATTTATTAGGCCCTTTGAGATTCTGGAGTGGATTGAGGAAGTAGTTTATTGTTTGGCCTTGCCGCTTCAACTTTCCGGGGTTCATGACTTGTTTCATATTTGTATGCTCCGAAAGTACGAGCCTGATCCTTCACACGTATTGGATTGGACCGATTTAGAGGTAGATGAGGATGCCTCATGTGAAGAAAGACTGGTTCAGGTGTTATATATTCGGGATCAAGTCTTGAGGAGCAAGACTATTCCATTGGTTAAGGTGTTGTGGCAACACCATGGAGTTGAAAAAATAACTAGGAAGCGTGAGGCTGAAGTCCATGAGAAGTATCCGAACCTGTTTATTGATATTTGAATCCTTTATACTAAATTTTATTTGTGTTGTAATGAGCAAACATTAGGAATGTTTTGGAGAATTGCAATAATTGTATTTTGGAGATGGATTGCTATGTTTATCTATTATTTGTTAACATGAGTTATTGTTGTTGTTAATGATTTATTGTGTTATTGTTGTATTGGTTAAATCTTGAGGACGAAATTTCATAAAGGGAGAAGATTATAGCGACTCAGGTAAAGACCCACCCTTTTGTATTCTTTGAACTGGAACCCAGTACTCATTATTATTGTTTAGACTTCTTGAGGTCTTATTATTAATCGGGATTAGTGTATTGGAGTTGTTGGTTGTGTTTTGAATAGATTGGGGTTAGTTTTTCAAAAGAGTTTATGTTTGTTTCTCTTCAAGTTCACTCGAGCAGTATTTCTGTCACTCAGTAGTCTTTGGTTCCTTCTAGTATCTGTGCTTGTAGTCTGAACTTCTGGAAGTGGGGTGTTTTTCGCTCGAGCCATGGGTTGGTTGCTCGAGCGGTATTCTGTATCTAACACTCGAGCAGTCTTTATTTTACTCAAGCGGTATCTTTGCAGGTCTAATCTACTGGGAGTGGGTCGTTGTGTGCTCAAGCCATGATTTCTTCGCTTGAGTGGTTCCTTGTGCCTGACGCTTGAGCAGTGTTTTAGTCACTCGAGCGGTCTATGTATATATTAATACAGGAAAAATATCTTTTCTTTCACTTTTTGATCTCTCTCTCTCTCTCTCTTTCTAAGAAGTAACTTTACCAAATTTCTTCACACACTCTCTCTAGTTCTTGTTTAAACCCCCGCTATACACTCAAATCCATTGGTCTCGCCGTTGTAGTGCGGAGAAAAGTGTAGAGCTCGTAGAGGTAAACATTCTAATCGGAAAAGTTTTCATTTTCAGCTTTGCCAAACTTTGAGTCTTGTTCTTCTCTCTTTCTAATCTTGAGGTAGGGATTTCTTCAACCATTTTGTATTATTCTTAGCCTCATTATATATTCCTTGAAAAGTGTAGTGATTTGGGAATAGTGGGTTTGGTTTTTGGAATATAAAAGAGGGGTTTTCAAATGGGTTTATGGGAAATATTATGGAGTTGAGTACATTGTCAAGTTGGGTTGAAATCTTGAAATTTTTTCCTTTAAATGTATTTTTTTGAAAGGAATAGATGTTTTGTTGAAAATCTTGAAAATCATGGTTTTTGAACTAAGGAAAATGGGAAAGCTTTTGGGAATAATAATATGAATATATCTGTTAATGATGAGAGTGACATTGAATATGTATTGTCACTACTATATTGAGATTATGGAATTACAACTGTTGTTTGGAGAGTTATCTTTTGTATAGAGATATCTATTTGGGCTATCGGTGGAGGATAGTTTTGATTGTTGTAAAAATTACATAAGGATTGGGTTAATTGAAATTAATTACTCATATATCTTGCATTGAACATTTATCATATTTATACATCGAAAATGTATCATTTTAAGAAAAAAATAGTGAATATCTTGGTGAATCTGGTTAGGAGGTGTGGTTGTGGTATTATTTATGTTGGCCTGTGTGTCCTTGGTGAAAGTTCAGAAACTCGTGTGGTTAGATGCTGATCTTTTCGATTAGTACCGGTAAAATGGCTTTGGTATATAGCCTATTGGCAGACACATATCTAGAGATTCCTAATATTGTGTACCCACTATCATATTTTCTAATTTAAAAAGTATTGTTTTACAAATCGATTTATAATCATGGCATTGCATTGATTTGAAAGAGAAAGTGTAACGTTTTGGTAAATGGCATGCATATGCATTTACCATATGACTTTGTTAACTATCATACAGTTTGTTAACGCATTTTCTACTGGGTTTTAGCTCACCCTATGTGGAAACCAACTTTCAAGTGCTGATGGTATTTTTTCGTCAAGGACTTAGTTTAGAAGGATCGTGGAGCTGAAAGCTCATTCTATTTTTCTTTTGTTTTAAATATCTTTTGCACAAGCCTCGGACTTTTTATTTGTTTTGGGCTTGACCCACTTTGTTGTAATTAAGTATCATCTTGGAAATATGTAGCCACTAAGACATGAACTTCTTCGAATTTTCTTTTATTTCTTGTAAATTGCCTTGTGTCACATGCTATAGATTCAGAATCTAGGGTTTGTGAATGTATAATGCATATGGTACCTTTTGTAAGAATTATCAAATGAATTAATGAAAGAATGAAATATTATTAGCTTTCGCATATTTAGCATACTTTATGGGATTATCGGTTGTTGTTATTTGGGGCGTTACAATCCAAGGATATGATTAGATCGGATGATAAACTGTCTCATTGGTTCTCACGAGCGGATCCGATAAAAGCATTACAAAGATAGAGATATAGAGAGGATAATTGTATACACAAGAAGAGAGAGATAGAGATAAAGAGATCTAAAAACGATATAGAGAACGACAATTGTAGCGATTGAGACAATGGTGGCAGTAACGGCGAATTTTAGTAGATATGGTGATCATCGATGAGAGAGAGAGAGAGAGAGTGAGTGTGTGTGTCACGACCCAAACCTGCCCTTATAAGTTTAGCATCATGACCGACCAGTAATCCTAAGATTACCGAAAGCCTCTTAAACAGGTACATAAGATTAGGGGCTAGCAGAAGCAAAATACAAACATATATCGTCCATTGAGCTGTGTAGACTTACATGAGATAGATAATATTTAAACTTTTCTTTTTATTATTTTTTTTATATACATATATTATCACATCATTCCTACATCATCATATATATACTGATAAGAGAAAAAGGGACTTAGCCCTATATACAGAATAAACAAAAACTTAAACTTTAATCACATAGCCTTGGCACTTGACATATTTGGAACCTCTACGGGAGGCACATAGGTTGGCAGACAAAAATAGATTCCAGGCCAACACCTCTAAGCCTGGTCACATTCTTGATCACCTACATACATATATAAAAACATGAGCGAGAGCCAAATGAATAACAACAACGTAAAGAGGTTATGAATAATGTCATTACTGTAATCCAAATCGGTCAATTATAGCAATAAACAAAAAATCAGAATCAATTGCTTAGCATATCCATATTTTATACAGAAAAAATAGCAGTCATACGTGGTACATCCAATAGCAGAACAGTACAGATGATCATGAAGACCGAACAGACGGTCATAAAGACCGAATAGTCACATATAATGGCCATCAATACAGCAAACAGAAGTTCCAAGAATCAAAATTGACAGAGATCTCTATAATAGTAGCAATAACAGATGCTAAGGATGTCACGAATACAGTTCATAAAACAGGACAATCATTCAATCAGTTATAAAATAGCATTTCGGAAACAGAGCATTTTCTAAGTCATAGAATATCTTTACAAGATTGTTACTCATAGATAGCTCCAGAGATAGATCAGACGGATCGTAGCGCGTGACCTACACAAACACATAACAGATACACATTGAAACACAATATCACTTCCTTGATCAAACTTGACTTTTCTTGTCTTTTTGCTATTTAAGTGATCCGAAGTTCTACTACGCTTGTTCTTTATTTCTTCAAATGAGTCGGATTCTCATTTCACATATTCTTTCATCACCAAATCCTTCTTTTCTAGATAGACTGATTTCTTACTTGGCTTCTTAATCAATTAGTACTAAATCAATGATTTATTCTTTGACCAACTAATTTATGTTGATTGTTAACTTTTTAATCTTTATTGAGTCATAATTCGTGCTTAGAAATGTTTGGGAGGAGATGGAATGAAAATATGAACACATGATTCAAAAACCTTCTTAATTTGTCCAAATTTAAATTTAATTCATTTCCTTCATATCAAACCCAACTTCAAACTTATAATATTTGATATATGAATTAAGTTTTCAAAACATAATTCCAAAACTTATATACAAACTCTTAAATAATTAAGAAAACTTGATCATCTTTAAACCATTTACATTAAAACTCCTTTAATATAAAAATTAAGCTCATTCTTTATAGACTCATAATTTTTCCAAAAATTTAGTTTTTGTTTCATCAAGAGATGGAATCAAATCTTCAAACAATAATAGTTATCAAAATTGAACCCAAATTTAACAAATTTAAAGAATCATAACCCACATTCTTCCACATAACTTAATAAAACCCAACTTCTATCAATTTATAACATTAATCTCCAAATTACTTCATCCTTTCATTATTTCTTTCCATTGGTTTACAAGTTTTGGAAAAAAAATTTGGGAAAATTTGTTTGGTTTGAGTTTTTCTGAAAACTCATTTGTAGAGAAATTTTCCCAAAAAGTTTTGGGAAATTCAAACCAAACGAACCCTTAGTTTTTGTTTCATCAAGAAATGGAATCAAATGTTCAAACAATAATAGTTATCAAAATTGAACCCAAACTTAACAAATTTAAAGAATCATAACCCATATTCTTCCACATAACTTAATAAAACCCAACTTCTATCAATTTATAACATTAATCTCCAAATTACTTCATCCTTTCATTATTTCTTTCCAATTACATGAAATTGAACCCAATTTGTTCTTAATTTCAGCTTTTAGCTAAATTATTTATAATATCTAAGTCACAATTTCTTACTCAAAATCCAATTTCTTACAAAATTCATAAGATTAATTTCATAACTTTCTCAATTTCAAGTTCAATTCCTCAATTCATCCAAATTATTTACAATTGAACCTCTTTTCTTTCTAATTCCTTGAATAATCTCAAACCCCTCTCAATCTCAAATATTATAAGATGATTCTACAAAATCAAACCAAAAATAATTAATTTCTAAGTTTGTTTCCATAAACCATGAACCTAGCTTCATTTTCTCCTTCAAACCCATTTCCTTACAAATTCCATAAAATTGATTCCATAACTTTCTTGATTTCAAGTATTATCTGAAGATTCTACACAAATTGAACATAAATTCCATACCTTAAGCTTTAATTGACTGAAATTCTTGAGTTTTATTTCCTTCCTTTGTTATTCTACTTGAGTTCTTCAATTTCTTCTACCCCCTTTTTCGTTATCGAGCAGCTCAGTCCTCCCCTCTTTCTTTCCTTCAGATTTTCTTTCCTTCTTTTAGTTCTTCTCCAGCGCACATAAATATCCAATTTCTTCTACCCCCTTTTTCGTTGTCGAGCAGCTCTCTCTCTCAGTCCTCCCCTTTTTCTTTCCTTCAGATTTTCTTTCCTTCTTTTAGTTCTTCTCCAGCACACATAAATACACATATGTACTTGTTGCCTCTAAGGTTCCAGAGGATTCCAATACTTCACTTGTATTATGATTTGATTAAGAATAACTTAGCATATTGATTACATCTTAATTTAATTAAACATTATTTAATCTTATTTAGCTCATAATTAAATTAATTATAACTAATCACAAATTTCATATAATTTAATTAGTCTAATTTAACTTCAATTAAGGCCCATTAATTATATTTAAATTTATCAATTGGAATCAGATATTTAATCAAACTCCCAAAAGGCTCAAAACATCAAATTAAACTTATTACCATTATCAATTTTGGTTTTCCAAATCATTTAGGCCTTCAATTTCTGATCAGACTCAAATTTCCGTCGATAAATTCATATTCAAATTGGGTACCTCATAAGTAAATTTAATTTAGAATAACTACAGTTCCTAATCCTCATAATTTAATTAACTCCAACTTAGACCCGATTAACCAAATCTTAATTTCACTAAACTGAATCGAATATTTAATTAAACTCACATATGGTCCAATACTCAAAATTAAACTAATTTAACTCATCAAGTTTGCCTTCTTAAGCCATTTAGGCTTTCGATTTCTAATTCCAAAATAACTCTTCTATAAAATCATATACGAATCAAACTCAATAATGTTCATCAATTCCATAATTAAATCAGAATAATAACTAATTAAAATCCAAATCACCTTGATAAACTAAATGTAAAATATTACACGTGGCAAGGTCATCAAAGAGAGAGAGAAAAAAAAAACAATAGAGAGAGAGAAATAGAGACACAGTATAAAGATATCCACGTTTTTTCTTTTCTTTTTTGGTTTTTTTGTTTTTTTATTTTTTTTTGGGATTGCATGAACGGTTCGAATCATCGATATGGGCTCTTTAGTGAGCCCACAGAGATCTAACAACACCCTCCATTTGGTTTTTCCAACTAATGAAAAGTTTTTTCCTTTTGTTTTTGTTAATATCTATAGGGATAGTTTGGTCTATTTATGTCAATTTTTTTTACTTATTCTTCTACAATTTAAAAATCTTAAGAATTTTAATTAACAAACAATTTTTTTTTTGGTTATGAGTTTTGAAACTAGTTTTTGAATTGTATATTTTGAAAGCTTGTTTAATTATGAGTTTTGAACAAATTTTATTTATTTAATTTATTTTTTTGAATTGTTTGAATTTTTATTTTTTGTTAAAAAATATTTAATTATTTTTTTTTTGAACAAAATAATTTTTTTTTATTTTTTAAAATTATTTTTAAAAATTTAGACAAAAGTTATTTTAAACAAATTTTGAATATATGCTTTAAATATTGTAAATATTTAAAACAAATTATTTTAAATATTGTAAATATTTTTAAAAAATATTTTTTATTTAAATAGTTTAAATATTTTTTTTATTTTTTTAGATAGTTAATTTTTTTTTAATTTTATAAATTTAAATTTTTTTTGAATCGCCCATATATATTTAAATCATAACAAATTATTCGGTCAATATTTAAAAAAAATGACAAAATATTTTTTTTAAAAAAATTAAAAGTTAAAAAAATATTTTTTTCAAAAATAAAAATAAAAATAATATTTTTTTGAAAAAAAAAATTATACATGGTATTCTAGGATATTTATACATGCTATTCTTCAAAAACTATTTATACGAATGGTATCAGAGCCACTTATTGATGAGTTATTTTTTATTAAACTGTCTCTTTTTTAACTTCTCTACATTTATCCGGGTCTCTACTTCTTATGTTTCTTGTCTAACATTTTCTATCTTGTCACTAGCCATCCAAACTTAGTCTTATATTCTGTATAAGTCCTCAAGTGTAGGTGGTTTAAGGATAGGGTTTCCAGTTGGGTATGAATGAACACAAGGTACATGAAAACATGATAAGTCTTGAAGAATTCAGCTATTTTAGGATCAGTGTATAAATCTTAGAATCATGAGTTGATTATTCAGAAGTAATTCTTCAATCTAGATCTACAACATTAGCTCATATACCTAATACAGTAGTAAATGAAGCAGAACATGAATTTCAAGATTTAAAACTAGATTTTGGATGGAACATACCAAAAGTACCAATCAAAGAAATTTATAAAACAAGTTTTCTTAAATCCTCTTTCAATATTGATTTATAAGTAAAAACTATCGAAAAGGTTTATGCCTTAACAAAAGTACATGAAACACCAAAAACCTGGACAGCAACACTTGGTTTCTAAACCCAACCAACCTGAAACAAACCTGCCCAACACATCCTATAATTCCAAATGAGAAAATAAGGGACAACAACAACAATTATACAATGACAGAATCTACGGAACCTAAGTCCGGATACAATAATCGAGTGGGAAAAGACCGGGGTCGCTATACAATCAAAGAAATTTATAAAAACAAGTTTTCTTAAATCCTCTTCCAATATTGATTTATAAGTAAAAACTATCGAAAAGGTTTATTCCTTAACAAAAGTACATGAAACATGTCAAATATTAACCAAAGAATCTATTAAAAAACATAGATCATCCGATCACAATTTTATTCATATAAGATTAGTACAAGTTGCAGTCAAACCAACATCTATTAAAGGACTAAATTCATCAATATTATTATGTCTTGGGGATGCTAGATTCAGAAAATACCACACCTATATCGATTTCGGTTTTAACCCGACCCCTTTGATATTCCAGACTCGAATTTTATAGTTTCTGAATGTTGTCATTATCGTTTTCCCCATATTCTTACTTGAGTTTGGCTATGGGTTTGTTGTGGTTGTGTTTGGAACATGTTGGTTACTTAGTTTCTAAACTCTTGTTGCTTAGAATTTTTCTCCTCCGCTCGAGCGGCATTTGTTGCGCTTGAGCGAGTTTTGTAAACTCTCAATACTTTTGTAAGTCTACAAAACTGCAGGGAGAGTGTAGTCTACGCTCGAGCGGTCCTTTCTATGCTCGAGTGGGTTCAGCTCGAGCGTCTATTCTTGTGCTTGAACGATTGGTCTGTTGTCTGCAAAACTACTGGGAATATGCATTCTACCCTAGAACGTCACTTCTTGCGCTCGAGCAGAACAACTTATTGTGTCTGATGCTTGAGCATCAACTCTTGTGCTCGATCGGCCTGTGCATATATTAGTTCATAACAGTCACTTTTTACATCACTTTTTCATATATTTCTCTCTCTAAAACTCACCAAAACCCTAGATCTTGAGTTTCTCTCTCTAAAACTCTCACTCTCTCCACATTTTCACCTAGATCTAGTAGTTTCTCCACCCTATTTCCTTTATTAAAAAGGTAGAGCATCTCAAGGGCTACATTTCTATCCGAATAGAGTTGTGCTTGAGCCTCTTTGAAGTTTCCATCTTGTTTACTCGATTTTTAACTTTGATGTAGGGACTTTCTACACTCTTTTATGAGTTTTAGCTTAGTTATTTGTTGATGTGTGAGAAAAATTGGGATTTGAGGTGATTTTGAACAAACCTAGGATTTTGGTTTAAAATCAAAAAATGGGTTTTTGAATGAATGTATTGGAAATGGTTATGGGAGTAAATATGGGCTTATGTTGTGTCAAAATGGTTGATTTCGGTGTTTGGGATGAAATTGGGAAAAATGGGGTTTTGCCCTAAAACGTCTCGAATAACTATTTTGTATAAATAATGGAATTGGTGTTGGAAATATAAAATTGGATGGATGTTTGTAAAAATGGTAGAGTTAGGTTTGTATTACCTCGCACCTATGGAAATTTGGATGATCTATCTTTTGTAAAGATTACATATCTATTTAGAAATATTTGTTTTAGGCTATCGATGGAGGATAGTCATGATTGTTGTAGAAATTGTATGAGGATTAAGCGAATTGAAACAAAACTCTTAGCCGTTATCATTGAATATGATTATGATTTGTATACATTGTATATATATGATATTTGGGAGAAGAAAGGGGATGTAAACCATGTTTGGGAAAAGAAAATGGATGGACTCCACTAAATTAAGTTGGCCTGTGTGTCTAGGGTAAAAGTCTTGAAAACCACGCGTATAAATAGGTGCCGATTCCGTGAATGAAATTTTTGTAAAATGGCAAGTGAATGTATTTCATATGATAATTATGTTTGGTTAGAGGCCTACGGGGTGTATCCTTGGTTTGGTTGACTAAATGAAGTGGGTATAACTAATGGTTTGAGATGCAAGTTTGACATAACATGGTTTTGAAAAAGGTTGTGAAAGAATTGTCATTTGGGAACCGAGCATGTGCATCTTATGTATATCTTTGTTAATATTCATCTATTGTATTGGAGTGTTTCTACTGGTTTTTGGCTCACCCTACTTGGGAAACCATTTTCAGGCGCTGGTGACATGCCTCCTCCAAAGACTTAGCTTGGGAGGACCAGGGAGCTGAAGGCTATGTTTTGTCATTTTGTATTTAATATTTGTACAAGCTTGGGGCTTTGTATGTTTGAAGCTTAAGACTCTTTATTTTGTTGTAACCAAGTATAGTCTTGGAATGATGTAAGCTTGTAGGATATTTATTTTGTTAATCATTAAGTTGGTATCACATGCTATAGATTCAAAGTAGAGCTTTTGAATGTATATCGCATGTGTCCCTTTTTGTAAATTAACTCTGATTAATGAAAGATTACTACTTTGTTTATGTCATTGTGTATATGTTGTTGGGGGCCGATTTGTGGCATTTTTTACAGAGCATTATAGCTTGGTATTAGAGCATACCGGGTTTGAATACTTTGGATATGTGAGAAGTGGTTAGTACCACAATGGGTTTGTCTCGCTTAATAAACACTTTAGTATGAACGATGTGTGCTTATATTGTCACGATCCAAACCCGCCCCTATAGGTTTAGCATCGTAACCGGCTAGTAATCCTGGGATTACCGAAGGCCTCTGAATAGATTAAACAAAATTAAGGGGCTAGCGGAAGCAAAAACATAAATATAATTGTCCAATGAGCTGTGCTGACTTATATGGAACAGAATATTAAAACTTTATATACATACCCAAAAGTCATTCTTACATTA